TGGTTTGGTTTGGTTTGGTTTGGTTTGGTTTGGTTTGGTTTGGTTTGTTAATGGGAAGAAATCCCCTAAAAGTCACATAGTGGCCACTCCTGGGGATATGGGTGACAGAAGCTCATGACTGGGAAAGGGCATGCAGTGGGGAGGGAGTAAGAGGATGCTGATCTCTGACCCAAGGGGAGATCCTGTGGGCACTGATTTAATAGCAGCTTCTTAGTTTTGGATGTTTGTAATTTACACATCCTTAAGAGTCATCATATCATACAGTAAAATGGCTTTCAAATTCTCTGATCCTCCAGATGGAGAAAAAAATTACAGAAGGTCATGTGACATAATCATACATCCAGAGTTCTAGCTCTCTGTTGACTGTGAGCTTGGAGAGTGCTGGGAAAGAGCTGTAGGTGACCTGTGTCCTGCTTCCTCATTACTGTGCTCCTGGGCCCTGTAGTTCAGGGATGGAGACCTGGAGCACCAGCACTCCGTAGAAGCTAGCCAACATGGACAGTCCACTGGGGCCCTGTGGCTGCATTGACAACTCCAGGACACCCCTCAGTGCTCCACTTCTGCCTTCATTATGGTCACATGTGCTGTGTGAGACATGCGGAAATAAGTAGGTAGAACTCTATCTAACTCCTGGAAAGAGTCCAGGTGGCCCTGATGCCAACAGATGCTTTGCTTGAGTTGTCATAGAGAGTGGAGGTAAGAAGAGCAAAGCTTTGACCAGCTTCTGGAAAGAATGTCTTTATCCAGAGCATCGTGGATGGATGGGTGGGTGGGTGGGTGGATGGATGGATGGGTGGATGGATGGATGGGTGGGTAGATGGATGGATGGGTGGATGGGTGGGTGGATGGATGGATGGATGGATGGATGGATGGGTAGTTTGGTGGATGGATAGATAAATAGATAGATAGATAGATAGATAGATAGATAGATAGATAGATAGATATAAAAATTTGAGACAGGGTTTCTCTGTATAGCCTTGGCTATCCCTAGAACTTGCTCTGTGGATCAGGCTGGTCTTGAACCCACAGAGATCCACCTGTCTCTGCTGGGATTAAAGGTGTGAGCCACCACCACTGCCAGGCATCATCTAGAGCTTTTAAATGAAGTTCATGAGCAGCTTTCCTTCTCGGTGCTGGGGTTCCACTAAGTACCGCACCCATCCCTCATACATCCCTGCCTGTGGTGATTCTGTGAGCAGACTGTCACATGGAAGTCCTGACTTAGTTAAGCTGTGTAACTGGTAAAATGGCCACAACCCACGTAGGAAGTAAAGTAGGCAGTGTGGCTAATCGGAAAGCACAGGTAAGCAGTTCATCACTGCAAGCAGCTTTGTGTCAGAGTCTCCATGTGACGGGGAAGCAGTTAGCCATGTTACTCTTCTCAGGGTGGTGCTCAGTCTGTGGGATGTGACCCCTTTGGGGGCTGAACAGCCCTTTGACAGGGGTCACCTAAGCCCATCAGAAAACACACATTTGCATTACAGCTCACAACAGTAGCACGATCGCAGTGATGAATTAGCAAAGAAGATAATTCTATGGTTGGGGGTCACCGCAACATGAGGAACGGCATTCAGGGGTCAAGTTTTGGCCTATGGTGTGCACACTTGCCGTCCTGGGCTCAGCGTCTGTAAGATGGGAGTGTGCTTCCTGCTGGCTTTGCTCTGTTTGCCACGGGCTCTGCTTTATCTTTGCTGTCACTCCTCTTTCAGGGCCTGACCTTCCAGGAGGTGGAGAACTTCTTCACTTTCCTCAAGAACATTAATGACGTGGACACGGCACTAAGCTTTTACCACATGGCTGGAGCATCTCTCGATAAAGGTACTGAAACACGGAAGCTTCTTTCTTGAAATTATATGCGTTAATTTGTATCTACTAGGTAAATGCCTTGCCTTAAAATGTCAGATTTTCTTCTTTGTTGTTTGTTTGTTTGTTTGTTTGTTTGTTTGTTTTGAGGCTGGTTTTCCCTATGTAGTCCTGACTGTCCTGGAACTCAGTCTGTAGACCAAGCTGACCTTAGACTCAGAGATCTGCCTGCCTCTGCCTCCCTCCCGAGTGCTGGGATTGCAGGCTTGCAGCCTCCTGAGTGGTTTGTTCTCTTGCACTTCCCATGAGATGCCAAGCTCAGCACATACATTTGACGGTGCTGCAGACAGGGCAGAGTCATGTGATTAGCCTGCATACAGGCATGAAGCAAGGCAGAGCTGCAGAACCTCTCTGAGTCACTGGAGTCAGGGCATGTGTAAGGAGAAGCCAGGAGCACTTGGCAGTTGGGGTCTTTGATGACAGAATGGTCTGGTTAGCATCTTTGCTCTCAACCATGCTATTTCTTTAAGAATCGAGAAGGACAAAAAAGTCTTTTAAATTTATCTTTGTAGTTGCCATTTTAGCTGTTTTTCCTGTATCCTTGAATACCCAGGCATTCATCTGGGCTGAAGAGCTTCTTTTACGGCAATTTGTAGTATGATAAACTCCTCTTACATTTAGGCTGTGTGAAAACACACTTGAGAGCCGTGATGCGTCTTCTCAGATCCGTATCTGAGGTGTGGACTTCCTTGTTCAGCCCTTCTCAGGGGATTCCGTCAGTTAGTGTCTTACGTGAGATCATGGCTCTAGCTTACATGTGAATTCTGAAAACGAACCAAACTCTAGAAATCAAGTAGACTGGCAGTTGCAACAGGGTCCAGGAGTGAGGTGGCTGGGGAGACAGGTCAGAGGGCTCAAAGTTTGAGTTACACAGGATAAGGGTGATCCTAGAGAACTGCCTACTGCTCGGGGACTGTAGTTACTAATACCAGACAGTATGCTTGCATTTGCTAAGAGAGACACTTAATGCAGATAGCATACACACATACTCTCACGAGTGCCAGAACGCGTGTAATTATGTAAAGAGAGAAATGGTGATTTGGAAGGTTAGCATAGTGACCCATACCTGTAAGAAGTACTCGGTAGGCTGAGGCAGGGAGATTATGAACTCAAGACCAGCCTGAGCTATATGTCAAGCTCCTCTATAAAATGAAAAGAAGAAGAAGAAAGAGACTTAATTACACTAAGTGCAGTGATACTTCACAGTGTATCACGTATCAGCACATCGTGTCGCAGCTCTTAAATCACAATTTATACACATTAAATAGCTGTCTTAGGGTTTTACTGCTGTGAACAGACACCATGACTAAGGCCTGTCTTTTGTTTGTATGTGTTTGTTTGTTTGTTTGTTTGTTTGTTTGTTTCGAGACAGGGTTTCTCTGTGTAGCCCTGACTGTCTTGGAACTCGCTCTCTGTAGACCAGGCTGGCCTAGAACTCACAGAGATCCCCCTGCCTCTGCCTCCCAAGTGCTGGGATTAAAGGCATGCGCCACCACTGCCCAGCTGACTAAGACCAGTCTTATAAAAAACATTTAATTGGGGTTGGCTTACAGGTTCAGAGGTTCAGTCCATTATCATCAAGGCGGGAGGATGGCAGCATCCAGGCAGGCATGGTGCAGGAGGAGCTGAGAGTTCTCTATCTTCATCTGAAGGCTGCTAGTGGAAGACTGGTTTCCAGGCAGCTAGGATGAGGGTCTTAAAGCCCACACCCCCAGTGCCACGCCTACTCCAACAGAGCCACACCTTCTAATAGTGCCATTCAATGGGCCGAGCATATACAAACCATCACAATAGCTATATGTCAATAAAGCTAAAAAAAAAAAAAAGAAAAGAGATCATTCTACTTATAACCAGAACTCATGATACTTTTTCCTTTCCAATCTGGATGCCTTTTATTTTAGGCCATCCATATAGCTTTTTAAAATAGCATTTGTTGGCTTAAAATAATGCCTCCTCTCATCTGTAGATTCCTTTTGAGGACCCATGGTGTGGGTGTCATTACCAGGCCCTTCTTCCAGAATAGCCCTCCATGCATTGCCGTCTCACAAGGCGAGCTTAGAAACCATGTGCAAATCCAAAAACATAAGATTTAAAGTCACAAGTTACAAAAATAGAAATAATAACCACCTCTGAGGGATTTTTTCCCCCTCAACTAAAGCCAACAGAACCACTTAAAGAAAACCATACGGATGAATCACTATCTGTGTGTAAATTATAGGATATACAAAACCAAATGATTCAGGGTAGCAGTAACAAGTAGAAATGCGACATAGTGATTAAGAAGGTGGGCGGAGTTTCTTTCAAGTGACTTGGGCCGTTTCCTGAGAGGGCACTCTGGTCCTCGTGCTCTTACATCTAGCGGCCATGCTGGACGTGCAGAGTACACTTAGCCCTCAGGCCTGTGGTGTCGGGTCATTTGGCTTCTTGGTTTGCTTTCTATGTTGTACATCGGATCCCCTGAGCATATATCGATACATATCAAAGAGATAGATAAGGCCTAGTTCCATGCTAAGTAACAGAGTGAGCCACACGCCTGTGTCTCCCAGGTCGGCTATAAAACCTCCAGCTGAGCAGTGCTGGCAGCCCTTAGGAGGCTGAGGTAGGCGGATCTCTGAGCTCAAGGCCAGTCAGGTCTACAGAATGCTTTTCTGGGCAGCCAGGGTTATACAAGAAACCTTGTCTCAGAGAGGAAAAAAAAATGCCACAAGCTTGATTTAAAGCAACAGAAATTTGTTCTCTCACAGCTGCGTTTTAAAGTCATCGTGCACGAACCTAAATTGTTCACAGAGCCATACCCCCTCCAAGGGCTCTAGAGATGCATCCTTCCTTGTTTCTTCCGCGTTCTGGGGGCTGTGGGTGCTCCTTGGGCTTGGTACATAGCTCCTATCTCTGTCCTGTCTCTATGTGGCTGTCCCCTCTGAAGCCCCACGTGTCTTTACTTACTTGGTCTTATGAGGTCTTAGAGCCCAGCTGGTAATCCAGGATGTTATCTGAGGCTCCTCCATTATAACTACAAAGGCTATACCCATCCCCGACTGGCTCTGCCACTGCGTCCCACCATGCTCTTGTCTACCGTAGCAACTCTCACTGAGTTTGTGTGAAGGTCTGCACGTCACTGTGTGGACTGCCTGCCACGCCGGCTAAATTCTTGTCTTCCTCGTGTATTCTCCACATCTAGAGCAGTAAGTCTACATGAATTACGGGCTTCCTTCCCTTCTCCATAGACAGAGCAGGTCTGCCTGCTTTACAGGCCTTCCCTCCTCTCACCACAGAACTGTGTAAACTTTAGTACTGAGATGAACCCCAGAAAAGAAGGAAGAACCATGTAGGGTTTGAGAACACAGCTCTAGGCTGCGATGTACGTGCCTGCTGTGCACGAAGCTCTGAGTTTGGTCCCCACCACCACATGGTGAGACCCCTGAGTGTTATCCCAGCATTTGGGGATACAGGCAGGATCACAGTTTCAAGGTGGGCCTTGGTTACATAGTTAGTTTGAAGCCACCCTGGGCCACAGGAGACCCTGGCTCCCAAGAACAGCATCATGGGTAGTGTTGGGCCCTTTCTACATGTTTAAGATAAGAATAAAGATACATAACTCACAGGATGCCATGAGGACAAATCTGCACAAAACCCTGTCCCCTTGTACATTTGCTAAAGGTCACATTGTGAAGCTGGCGACGTCAACACAGTGTGGTGCTGTATGTTTGTTCTGTCAGCAGCACAGCCACCATGCTAGCCGTAGGGGTTCCAGCCTCAAGAAGCTCACAGGAGTGGGGCCAAGATGACTAGACAGGAGTTCCAGTCAGTGTGGTCACTGGCATGGAGACAGGAGTGGAGCCCTGCCTGACACAGGCTGTGGGCGTGGAGGGAGCTGAGCAGGGTCAAAGGGCACACTCTGCCCAGCCTCTTCTCATTCCTAGTTGCTATCAATCCCAGCTGTCTTTTTTTTTTTTTTTAAAGAAAGGTCAAGACCTTCAGAAACTGGCCTCTTCCCAAGGCCCTGGCACGGTTTCTTCCTTGGCTAGTGAGAGCTTACAGACCAACCCTGGGACATAATTGATTGGACTTTCCCAGGCAATGCTCGACATGGTAATGAGTCCTCCCTTGCTCTGCAAAGAAAAGTGCTCCGTGGTCTAAAGAAGCTTAGAAAATGCCAGAGTTGCACATAGCTTCTCCCTAAGTACCACCTGAGAAGGCTTTTAATATGCTAATGCTTGTAACTAATCCCCCAAAGGAGGATGCAGTTCCCAGACCTGCTCCTGAATGCCTTTGTACCTTACAGATTAAAGCTTGCCTAAGCAGTTCAAGGAGTCCTGACAGGGAGCAGGTACAGACTGATGGACACACCATCAGAGGACAGGATCATGTCCTAATACTGGAAGTTTCAGTGACGTGGTGGTTGTTGTTGTTGATGATGATGATGATGCTGATGCTGATGCTGTTGTTTGTATGAACCTTGTGGTAACATCTCGGATAAGAATGGAGTGTCCCTGGTGGGTTTTGACCTCGTGAAGACATGGTCTCCAGGAAAGACTGGATTTCCTCTGTAAGTCCCCTCTCAGTTAGTACATAAGAACAACCAACTCTGATTGTGCATTCATACACATAAAATTAAGTGTATTGCCTCTGACGGGCTGCCTGAATTATGTCAGCAATCTGCTGAAGATGGTAATGGGAAATTGAACATGACTCCTTCCCTAGCGCCTTCCTGTGGTGGAATAGTTGGATTCCAGCTGGAACTTAAGAATGAGCTATGGCCTCTAAATCTCAAAGCAAGTCTTGTTTCTGCCAGAGGAGTCAAGGGTTTCAGGTACAGATCCCTGGTGGAAAGCACCTCAGGATGTTAGCAATAGATGTGCTAACCCTGGGGCCCAGTATGCCTCCTTGCATCTGTGGGTGCTGCCCTCCTGTGTAACACGCTGAAACATGCCTGTATCAAGAAATCACACTAAGCA